AATAATAATAATAATTAACGATAATAAAGACAAAGATAGTGTGTGTATTTGGACGAGAATAGGTATTTTATGCAGCCGAATAATCGTTGGAAGCCCGCGGCAAATCTTGATTTACTGCTGGGCGCGGAACACCCTCCTGCACGTATTATTAAAAAAGCTTCAGCCGCCTTCTCCAGTACAGATGTTGATGATGAAGTAGTGGATGCAAGAAATACTGTAAGCTTCAGTGGCACAACTTATTGTAATCGACAGGATAACAGTTACTCGACTACTCGACAACGACTAATGGAGTATTACCGTTTCATGTTCTCCAAAATACCCCTTTGGGATCAGGCCTCACAATTGGGTGTGGAAAAGAAGGAAGAAGCGGAGAGTTCCGTAGTAAAGAGTGAAGTTGATACTGAAGATGTGAATTATTCTAATGGCCATACACCATCAATGCTGCAGTACAGGGCATTAGGTATTCTCACACAGACAAACGATCCAGGCGCTGTGGGACAAGATCTACAAATTCCATGGGAATTTTATCCTATTATGGATGTGGATGATGAAGGGGCATATATAGAGGCTTTTAAAGCTCTTACAAAAGAAGCAGCTCACACTACTGGATTATTAAATGTTGAAGTGGAAAATGATGAGGATGGAACATCAGCAGCAACAACAACAGCAGCTGCAGGAGGAATGGGATCATCTACAGGAGCCGCACTACACTCACTTTCTAATACTCATAGTGGTGGAAGACTATCACTCTATACACGTTTAATACCTAATTTTACCGGCATTTATCCTGGTATACCTATTGGTGTTGTTGGTGAACCCTTTAAACGAAGTTCTTCGGGTGCTCTTACTGGTATTTTGGTTCGTCATTTTATTTTACCGTCCCGTCCAGAATATCCATGGCATATTGAAAGACCCTTATCTTTACAATCATCACACTCATCTATTCCTACACGAGTTCATTTTTGCAGTGGACCTTTCCCTCGTCATGAAATTCGATATATTTTAACTGCAGTAACACAGTGTGCCCTTTTACGTGGAGCTGATCTTTTAATTATCGCTGGTCCTCTTGTAAAAGGATTTGAAGAGTTTGAGAAGGAACTTATGATGACCACACAAAGTACTTTTGATGAAATGCTTACAGGATATATGGATACAATTGAAGAAACCATAGAAAGGTATTATGCAGAGCAAAATAACGTACGAGTCCAACATCACTTAAAAGTGGTACTCGTTTCCCATAGAGATGATGTGACACAAATACCTGTTCTTCCAACGATCATGTACGGTTTGGAAGATGGGGCAGATGTCTGGGTTCGCTCTAACCCATGTCGTATCACTGTAAATGGTATTCATTTTGGTGTTTGTAATGAAGATGTGGTGGGGGATATGCGGGAACGAATGGTGGAGCGGTGGGGAACGGAAACGGGAAGTCTCCGTCGTGTAGTGGAATCACTTGTGTTAAGTCGATTGTATGCTCCTATTTATGAATTACCCGCGGAAAAACATGAAATTCGACATCTTTCTACACTTCGTATGGATTATATGCCAAATACTTCTCAAGGTACGGATGCTAATGGAGAAGAAAAACCACTTTCATGGAATAGTTTACAATCTCTTATTCAAGAAGAAGAAGAAAACACAGCAGGTGATGTGAAGAGGGAAACAAAACGTGTCAAGGGAGAGTCTACGGAGACATCATTTCCATCTCATCATTATTACAGCAATGCATCTTCAGTTGAGTATATGCCACACATAATGTTTCTTCCCTCAACACGACCGAGGTTTGCAATGGTGACTCACCGTAGTGTGTGGGATGCGAGTGTTGGTATTCGGCGAGATGAGTCCTTGTTAGATGATACTTCCACAGCAACAGGAGTATTGGTAGTAAATCAGGAGATCTGGAGTAGACGATCCGCCCGAAAGTTTGAGTTACGTGTGGCAGAGGTTACAATACCAGACAGTGATTGTGTTATGCGCCGGGGAGCATCAGAGGCGAATGGAGTCTCATGTGGTTTAATTTACTTTGCTAACAACACAGCAGCATAGTGGGGTATTGATGTTCTGCTGCACAGGAACTTTATACATCACATATTTCCATAGAGAGAAAGAGAGAGAGAAACAGAAAGAGAGAGTAAGATTGCGTAATGGAGACAGGTCATCTTTTTGTTTTATTATTACTATTATTTCTGATCTGCAAGTTTGTATGCATGCTTTTTATGAGTGGGGTGAAAGAAAGAAAAAAACAAAATATTCTTCTGGATGTTGTGTTTTAAATCTCTTTTTGGTTTCTCTTCATTGTTTTTTTTTTTTTTTCTCTATCACCCGCAAGGTCCTTCTCTTTAGGGTTCTGAGGGAAGACTCTGTGATGTGATTATTAGGATTCCACACTAGCATAGGTAAATACATGTTTCTTTATTTTATTTTCTTTTTCTCTCTAATGTAGAGCCGTTGTGTAATTGAGTTTGAAGGATGGCGGATGTGAAACTTCTTCTAATTGCCTCTCGTTGCCCATTCTACATTCTGGCACGTTGATGGTAGTCAAAAGAAGTGAGATGACGTTTATCGTTGGTGGTAATGGAGTTTTTATTTCGATATTTTTTTTCTTTTTTGATTTTATTTTAATAATACAATGGAAATTGTTTCGGATGCTGATGATAATAATAATAATGATTCTTTTTTTCTTCTCTTTTTTATTTGAATTGTTTCTCTCAAGTGCATCTCTATACATTGTATTGTTATTTGCAATAAAAATAGTGCCGCTGGGGCCAACTTGTGCGATTGATAAAAAAAAAAAATATATATATATATATAGCCATAAAAACAGAACAAAAAAAAAATACCGAGAAGAAGAATATAAAGAAAAGAAGAAAAGAAAGGCTTGATAATTAAAAAAAGAAATCTCAAAGTAATCATAGAAAAGAGAACAAAATAAAAAGAAGAAAACCCCAAAAACCTAAAAAAGAAAACAACAACAACAACAACCATTACAAATACCACAATAAGAGCAACCAAGTATGTCTGAGGGCTACACGGCGGCCACTGGGGGTGAAGGAGCCCTCTCTGAACTCCTCGTCGCGGAGGATAAAATTCAAAACGCACTCGTTCCCGATGATGTTGTGATTCGTGATTATCTCAACTGCATAAATGATGACACGTGGGTGCGGCACGCCGAGTTGGTGCGGCTCTCGGATCTCAAAGAAACACCACACGAGGAGGCCGTGAAGGAGGAGGTGCTCCGTTCATACATTGAGGAGCGGCGAAGGAGTAATGCAGAGTTACCACGGGATTTAATCATGGAGGGAATTCTCTGGCAGGAGAAGTTCATGGATGAGTACAAAAAGGAACATCGCTCACAAGATAAGGAAGAGGCCTCAAACTATAAAAAAGCATTGATGGAGCGTTTTCGCAACAAGAGGTCTGATCGTCAGATTACAGGCGGTGCGGCATCTGATGTTAAGGCAATTGAGTATGGGGGAAAAAAGGCCGATAGTACCATGTTCTCAATGAATGCAGCAGGTACAAATAACAAAGGAGCATTTGATCAACCCCCATCTATGTATACTCCAACGGTAAGACAAGAGCAACCGGAATCTGATGGTCCAACAACAACAAATACTACTACTACTACCACCAAAACTGCAACTACGACTAAAAATGAAACTCCGAACAGTGCTGTTCTTGCTCCAGAAGCTACTGAAGCAAATGCCACTAATGGGTATCCCGTTGAAGAACAAACTGCTCCTTCAGCAGAAGCCGTACAACAGGCAGATGATGCTGTTGCTACTGAACCAAATACTGGTGAGTATCCTACTGATGGAGAAGCTGCTCCAGTAGCAGAAGCCGCAGAAGAACAACAACCAGAAGCTACTGAACCGAATGCCACCAATGAGTACCCCGTTGAAGAACAAACTGCTCCTTCAGCAGATGTTGTACAACAGGCAGATGATGCTGTTGCTACTGAACCAAATACTGGTGAGTATCCTGCTGACGGAGAAGCTGCTCCAGTAGCAGAAGCCGCAGAAGAACAACAACCTGAAGCTACTGAACCGAATGCCACTAATGAGTACCCCGTTGAGGAGCAAGCTGCTCCTGCAGAAGAAGCCGTACCAGAGACTGTTGATGGTGCTGTAGAAGCACCTGAAATAACAAAGGAGTCTCCAAATGAAAATAATACTTCAGCTGTGGAACCCGCTGCCGAAACAGATGGAGTTAATCTCGGGGCTGAAATTTAAATGTACATATATGTTGCTGATATTAAGAACTCGCCTGGGTGTGATCTTCGTGGACAAATGTGTCCCTAAAACAATACCCTTTTGACGAAGGGAATATCTAAATCACAGCACTTTGCTTTTTTCTTTTGCTTTGCCTGTTGTTTGTTTTTTCTCCATTTACTTGTGTGATCGTAGATAGTGTTTCTTTGGTCTTCGCTTGCTTCCTTGTGTGGGATTTCTATTCGCAAGCTTCTGAGAAAGAGGTAAACAAACGTTTCTCAAAGACTCGCTGGTGAACTATTGCTTCAGTTTGTTAAAGTCATTGGAAATCATTTTATACCTTTAAACTTTATATGTACTGGCTGTCAGTCTTTCTGTTTTTTTTTTTTTTTTTCATTTTTCATTTTCCCTCCTCCTTCTGCAATGATGTATGATATGAGACACAGTACTCGTTTTTTAATATGGAGCTTCTTGTTTTTTTTTTTTGCTTCTTTATATTCACTCTAGTATTTATTTCCACTTGGTTTTCCTCTTTTTTTTTTGCCACTTTTCGGAAAGTGGTTGTACTGAAATTTCCTTTTCTTTTTTTCGCTGCTTTTTTATTTTTTTGTCTATTAAGAGAAAACAAAGTGAATTTAATATAATTAACCATATCGAACGAAAGCAATGAGTTCAGTCCCTACTCTTTGTGAAGGACTTCGGGCGAAACTTGCAGAGTACCGCAAAAAACGAGGTTTTAACCCCACACAATGGATTGAGAGTAAATGTGCGAAACTAAATGAGTATATGTTGAAGAGTGGGTTAAAGGTGTGCGTTACTAGTGTATCTGGTGGAATTGATTCTGCAGTGGTGGTGGCTTTGTGTTCACACGCGCAGCGTATGCCCAATAGTCCAATTGTAAAGAATATTGGTCTATGTCAGCCTATATGCAGCAGTGCATGGGCGCTAGAGCGGGGGCGTGAGAATATTCAGGCCTGTGGAGCAGTGGAGATTGTTGTGGATCAAACTGCATTGCATGCTGAACTTTCAAAAACGATTGAGAAAGCTGTTGGGATTACCGGAAAAGATTTTGCCCGTGGACAACTTCGGAGTTACATGCGCACTCCAACGGCCTATTATGTAGCACAGTTGTTTGGCCAAGAAGGGACTCCTGCCATTGTTATGGGTACTGGAAATATGGATGAAGATGGTTATTTGGGTTACTTCTGTAAGGCCGGTGATGGTGTGGTGGATGTCCAACTTATTTCAGATCTACACAAGAGTGAGGTGTTTCTGGTGGCCAAAGAGATTGGGGTACCTGCGAATACTATACATGCCCCTCCCTCTGCAGATTTATGGCAAGGACAAACGGATGAAGAGGAACTTGGATTTCCCTACGATTTTGTGGAGCTTTACACAGGCTGGTATGTATCGCTTGGAAAGGATGAACAGCAATCGTTTCTTGAGTCACTTTCAGTGGAGGATCGTCAGCAATTTGAAGAATATATGAAGAAATGCGAGAATGTTCATCGTCGAAATGCACATAAACTAAAGGGTGTCATCAACCTTTAGTAAACGAAAACGATGCGAACACCAAAAAAAAAAATAATAATAATAATACAAGGGATACGATGCAATGGTTTGGAATTCATCCCATGCTAATGAACTTCAATTCCTTTGCAAATTTTTCTGTTTTATTATTATTATTATTATTATTATTATTATTATTATTATTATTATTATTATTATTATTATTATTATTATTATTATTATTATTATTATTATTATTTCTTCAAGTTATTTTTACTAGTACTAACAACTGTATTATATTCCTAATGGTAACAGAAGAAAAAAAAATCTTTTCTTTATTTTTTTTTTTTCCTTTACTTCTTAATCTATATATCTATTAGTAGTGATGCAAGGTACAGACAGCCCACCCAGTGACGAGACACTTACCGTAGAGCGGCAGTATGTAACTCCCTCTCAATCCTGTGAATCTGCGAGTGATACTGGAGATGATATGATATTTAAGACTTGTCTAAGCGGGAAAACAGAAGGTACCAGTATTTCTCCTGGAAGTAGTCTCAGCCAACGTACAACCTCAAGAAAATTGTATTTGGACCAAATATACAATCATGCCCAGCTTCGCGCTAAGAGCACTACAACGGAAAGCGGTAGTGAAAAAAAGGCTCGCCGCAGTGATGTTCGTGGATTTCTCGAAACCATATATGGTGGACAACAGACACGTAGACAAAACTCCCATCAACAACAAAAAGAAAGTAATGCCCATCCAACGGAACCAACAGAAAATGAAACAGCAACGACGGGTAGTACTAGAGGAACACCAGTGCGAAAACGTGGTATGACAGGTGATAGAGATCGTTGGGCGTCTACGCGGCATGAAGCACTAGAGCAGTTACGCATAGAGTTAGAGGACCGACTACGTGTAGATGCGGATTTCAGGCCTGAACTGCGAAAGATGGATAGTATGGAGTCTGCACCGTTTGCAACAGGGCGTCGCTCACAGGAGCCAGTGGATTCTTCTCCTGAACAAGCAACTTATCGTACAAGTACCACAGGAAGAGCAATAAAAATAACAACGAATGATGATGAAGAGGAGGAAGAAGAAGAAGGAAGATTGGTAGAGGAAATAACACCATCTCTATCTCCTGTTAGTGAAGCGAAGATGTTGCATGATCTTACTATAGAACTTTCTGTTCATCATGATGATTCAAAGGATGAAGAAGATATGTCAATGCAGCGTATGGAAGAAAAAAGAAAAGATAGACGTCAGTGTTTAGAAGCCAAATGGCGTGCAAAGGAGCTTAAGGAGTGCACTTTTCATCCTTGCGTTTCCCCAGTCTCCACGGCAATATTTCACAAAAGTTTACAGGAGAAAGGGAATGTATTTGATAGACTCTACCCACAACATAATCATGAAAAATCACAGCCAGAGGAGATGGATTCTCGAGAGGCCCTTGTGCACAGGGAGCTGGAAATACTTTCAAGAGAAGAAAGAGAATCGCTACGTAAACGATGTGGAGCAGTAACAGCTGAAGAGGCAGGTGATGAAACTTTTGAGTTATTTTTACATAATGTACTGGGTTGTAATAGTAAGGACCCTTCTGTTTATATTCAAAGTGATTATGAATCTCTTTTAGCACGAAAATTATATGATGAAGGCAGTACGGGGTCTACAGACTCTATACATAGAAAATCTAATAGAGAACGGGAGGAACGACAATATCGTCTTGCTTGTTTTGATGAATTTCTTAATCGTCAAAATGCACATTATTTGAATCGAAGACGTACTATACAGGAACTTGAAAGGGCACTAAGACCTTCTTTTAAACCAGAAATTACTGAAAATAGTGTTCTAATTGCAAAAGAATTACTTTCTCGTAGTTCTAACAATTCACGTGAATCTGGAAATGTTTCGGTACTTGCCTCTGCAGTGAAGAAGCATCGCTCACCTTATGTTGATCCCTGTACATTTAAACCAGAAATTACACCTGTTTCGAGTGCTTTGGCTCCTCGAGGTGTGGAAGATATGATGAGGGATAGTGAAAGGTGGCGTAAAGCGAAAAAGGCCGCACAGGAAAGAGCATTGAAAGAGGAAATGCAACACCCATTTCGTCCTTCGCTAAATAATGACCGTAATGCTCACGTTGAGTCCATGTTAAATCCAAAGAATTATCCACGATATGAACAACTATTGCGTAAACAAAGGGAACGGATGAATCAGTTAAAGAAGGAAAAAGAGGCGAAGAAAGAACTAGAAGAAGTAGAGCAGAATACATTTCATCCAAAGACGACACGTAAACCAGCTTATGTGTCTCGAATGGCATCTAGTTTTGCTCTTGTACGACAACACTACGGAGAGCTCTAGCTTATATAAATAAAAAGAAGAAACACGTTCTCTTTTATTGTTCTTTTTATTTGTTTTAGTTCATTTTATTATGAGATCCATAGAAAAATTGTGGGGGATTATAGAGTTTAACTGCGTACCCTTTTTTTTAATTATTTTTGTTTTTTTTTCGATTGGTGTGAGTGAGAAATTCCAATTACATCTGCACTTCATCTGCAGCGTATTATGCTTTTCCTCCACATTATCAGGTTTTTTTTTTTGCTTTTTTTACTCTTTTTTTCTCTTTTTGTTGGCCTTATTGGCAGACTTAACTCGTAAAAGTGACCGCTAGTATTATTATTATTATTATTATTATTATTATTATTATTATTATTATTACAATTTGATCCAGAATAATATACCTTGACCCAGATAGTTACGTTTATTTATTTTTTTTCACTGTTCTCTTTCTTTTTCCTTTTATTCCTCTCTCTCTCTCTCTCTCTCTCTTATACATATATGAATATATAGGTCGTTTCTAGGGGTAGTGCAGAGGAATAGGACTATTGTTCGTTTGCCTATTATTATTATTATTATTATTATTATTATTATTATTATTATTAGTATTATCATTATTATTTATTATTTTTGAGAATTGTTATTATAACTACCCTTTTGTTTGCAATAGAGTACCACATTCTCTCACACACACCCTTATTACACCCCCACCCACAAAAAGGAAAAATAAAAACAAGAAACTAGAAAAAAAAAAAAAAGAAAAGAAAAAAAAAGAAAGAACGCTAACATCAATACAAGAAACAAGCCGTTCCATCATATCTCCTCTCTCTGTGTGTGTTGGTGTGTGTGTATACGAGTCCGGCATGTCGCAGCGGAATGGGGCCAAATCGCCCTCGCCCGATAGTCACGTGGAGGTCTTCTCATACCGCAGTTCACGCGCGGGAAGTGAAGCCCCGCAACGCGCACACGATTCCCTCGCACGATCCCCGCGATCTTGCAGAAGTTCACGCGCGGGAAGTGAGGCACCACAACGCATACGCGATGGACCACAACAACAACAACAACACTCACTGCGTAGCTCACCAGGGAATGTATCTATTTCAGGGGATGTACGAATAGAGGATGAAGATATGATCGCAAGGGATGGTGTTGCGGTAAAGGATGGGTATTCCAATAGTAAACGGATAAGAAAGCATGCGGTGGCCGCTGCAGGTGCTGGTGGATGGTCATCCACAAATACAAAAGGGCATCGACGGACATCACATACGAATGAAGCTAGAGAGATGGAAAATGCTTTATATCATTCTGTTCCCCATGCTGGATGGTCTTTTAAGTTTTTACAAAAACTATGCTATCCATTTGATGTACCAGCACCTTTGGGGAATGATCCTTCAAAAAGTTGTTCTTCTAACATTGATGAAAGTGCTGAGTATGAGGCAACTGGAGAACTGCATATTACGAATGCTGTAGAGCTTCCTGATACCCGCAGTGTTTTGCGGAATGAAACAGATAACGTAGAGAATGGTGTTAGCACCTTGGCGATGTGTATGATGCCAGATCCAGTCCAAGGTTCTCCTGTACTAGCATTATGTATAGGAGATGTAAATGGACGTATTAATTACTGTGAACTAGAAGTAAACCACGTTAAACATGCATTATCTTCTTCGTGTATATCAAGAAAGAGTAAATCTAATATTAGCACAGGAAGTCGTAGTCAGACAGATGTTGATATAACGAGCTATGCTACCTCCCTTATCTCAGATCAATCTTTTTATTCAGATATTTATGGATTTCAACGACCACCTCTTCGAAAACACAGTCATCAAGCCTACGTTCGTGAAATGGATTGTCTTACATCTACTACAATTTCACAATCCGTTAAGACATTAAGTTTTTTGCGACAACATGAATCACCCAATACTATAAGCTATTTAACTTCAAATGAGCGAGTTATTAAGCTTTTTCGGGTTCAGCGAGAGGGTTTCTCACCATTTCATGCATTTCCATCTATGGAAGCCGTTATAGGAAAGCGATTGGCATATACACGTTATTTTCCTCGTGCTGCCCCGTCTTTTCCTATTCTTCCTGTTCGTGTTTTTTCTGGTTGCCACATGAGTCCTGTGCAGGATCTTAGTGTCTGCGCAGATGGAGAGTCTTTTCTGAGTGTGGATGACCTGCAAGTATTTTGGTGGAATATGGAATGTGAAGATACATCGAAAGGTACATGTATCGCTGACTACAGACCACTCTCAGGACGTATGGATGAAGTAGAAGAATTAGTTACTTCTGCTGCTTTTCATCCAACGCATAGTTCCCTCTTTTTGGTTAGCCTAAGTTCTGGTTTACTTGGTATTGGAGATCTACGTGACTCGGCATCAGGAGCAGCACGGAAGTATTCTAGTTCGGTACGTATTAATGAGGACTCTAATTTTTCTATGCAAGAGCAATACGGTGAAGTTCTTTGTAGTATTTCAGGAGCAGATTTTTTGGGCTCTTGTCACGTGGTGACACGCGACTATCTCTCACTGAAACTATGGGATCTTCGACGAACAGATAAACCATATTCTGTTGCTCCTGTTATGAATTATGTAACTCCATATTTAGATTCTCTTTATGAAAATGATTCTATTTTTGATCGTTTCCCAGTTGCGGTCGATCATATTTCTAATACAGTGGTTACTGGACTATACGATGGAGCTGCTGCAGTCTGGCAGCCATTTCAAAATGGTCGTATTCCCCCAGAGGATGTTCTTGTGCATTATCACGCCGATCCACTTGCACTTCCATGTGAAGTAGAGAATGGTGGTCGTACAACCGTAGAAGCGCTGGGTATGTCATTAGCGCGTGGTTGGAAAACTCCTACGATTTTCGCTGCGGCCACTTGTAGTCTTGCAACGAATGCTGGTGATGATGAGATGAATGCAGGGGTCGAGCCTGCTGTGCAGATGCTCCAAGACGATATACCGGAACCTATCGCCAACAAAACGGTGTGTCTTGCTGTAGCTGACGGTGGGGAGCGGTTTGCACTGACATGCAATGACGGACGTTATATTATGGTGTTTGAGCGTAAAACCTCAACAGACAATCCAGTAGCATCTGTAGGGATCAGATGAGAGAAGATTGTCAATAGAAAATTGAAGAGGGAAGAGAGGATGGAGAATGGAAAATGGAGGATTAAAACAGAGGGTAATAGATGGAATTTATGATCTTATCTGTGGATCACAGTAAGTCTATTTCTCTATTTTGTTACTATTTCTGTATGTGTGTATGTGTGTAATTCTGCTTAAAGAATCAATTTGTATTTGAGCACGTTTGGTGTTTTATGTGGAATTGTCTTTCGTCTGGGAGTTTAGGGAGAATGGGTAATACGACAGAATGGAAGTGGGACGGAATGAAAAGATATATATATATATATATATATATATATA